CTTTGGAGGTTGCCAGAGATTCTGGTTATTCATATGAAGAGATTCTCCTTCAAACACTTTTTGAAGAACAAGTTAGAGACGCTTGTTGATTTCCCTATCCATGATCTTGAATTGTCTTCGTATATTGCCAACAATGAAGAACAATCTTCTTTCCGGTATATGCTTTATGCAATTAGCAATCATTATGGAACCATTGGAGGTGGACACTACACCGCGTCTGTTCGTGTAAGTAGATTTAAGATTTAATGGTTTAATGGTTGTGAATAAGATAAAAAATGCAGTATATGATCCATTGCACTATGAGTATTGTTTTATAAATGTTTGATTCTCATTTTGTTGTAGCAAGGGGGCGATCAGTGGTATGACTTTGACGACAGCCATGTTTCACCCATCAATGTGGACAAGATAAAAACCTCAGCTGCGTATGTTCTCTTCTATAAAAGAGTACAAGAAAAGAACACATAGAAGAATCTGGGTGATGAACATAGCTAGCTATATCTTAGCTATGCTAGAGGTGTCTTGTGGACTGATACAAGGCATCATTCACATTTAACCAACCGCGCTAGTCTTGTTGAGAAGAATCACACATTTTCACTGCTGTTGTTTGTTGTTTCCTGGCACACTTGGGGTTGGCAATTTTGGGGGCAATACACATTTTTTTTTCACTTTCTAGGATGCTGATTGATTGAGGTTAACATTAAAGAGGGATAGTGAATGACTATTGATCGAAGGCAGTGCAAAGGTTGACATAAAGTGGGGCGTCGTACATTGTATACCATTTTTTTGTGCGTGCGATAAAAGACCGAGGTTTGCATGATTACCAGCTAACGGAATAGAGGGAGGTAGCTTGAAATAGATTGCATAGTGAAGTTGTAAAATGCTGTAGTATTATTCTTTCAGTTTATATATACTCCGTATAATATTACTAATTATCATTATTACATTTCTCTTACAGGCTATGTTTTATCACTTTTCCTTACCATTGCGCTGTCTATCTAGCCAATGCATGTTTGAAATGTTTCTTGCACATAATGGCGAATGTGTTTGTATTATGCTATAAAATTTGTGGTAGATTTAGCCATTTATGGCCTGTTTGGCTACAATTATCCAGCAAAACGGTTGAATTTGTATGCCGAATTTGTGGAAAGGGAAAGCGGCTGTTTACATCCATTTTAGTCAAATAAGTGACTCATTCTTTTTGGTTTAGTGTTAGCGTTTTAAATGAATTTTGAAAGGCTTTGGGGGTGAATTGCGTGAAGTTAACCTAGAATGAATTCAATCTCCTCATCACATGCTAGGGAAGGTTATCTATAGACGATTGAGAGTTGTCTTGAACCCCCATACTTGCATTTGGTGCATAAGTCACGTGTCCATAATATTCCACATGCATAAATCAAAATGCGTCATCACAATTTTAGGCCAACTCGACAGATTGGGTTGCCCCACACCCCTATACCTTGAGCATAGAAAATACCTTAGTCTTAAAGCTTAGAATGGTCGAGCTTCGTGTCTCTAGCCGGGCACAGCTTAAATCCAACCTCAACCCAAGAGTCGTGGGCCTTCCTCTCATAGATTCTTTTAAAGCCTTTAACTCTTGATCTTCGATGTCTGGCATTCGTCAATAATTCTTATCACCAGATTCATCACGATGACCTATTCTCTGACATTACTTGCTCCCCCATTTTTTAGTCCTCAACACATGTAAAGATGTCAACACACTTACTAAGACGTGGACATCGATTACTCCGATGTGCCTAGACACGACTTAGGGTCCTCTGATATGAGGTCGTGATTGTGTTACATTTGTCCTGTGGTTCCTAGCTATGTTGCATCATTGGATTTGGTTGTAGTCTTTCTGCATGATGACATTTGAACGGCAAGATCAAGAGAAGGTGAACATTGTGATGGCGATTCTCTTCGAGGCATGGTTAGTGTGTGATGGTCTACCGTTTAGATAGAGTATTTCTACCATGTGACGTCAATGTCTGACTTGAAGCATTGAAGTGCTATTGCAACGTGACTTTGACATGATCATGGATTGAAGTGGTGAAACTTTGCCACCAATGCAAAAGTAGATAAGATAAGCGACATTAACGTGATGCACTAACGCATGATGACATGAATTATGAATGACGACACCACAATAATCAACGAGTACAACACACGATCCTCTTCATGAATTAAATGAAAGTCCACTGGATGAACTATTATCACTCAAACCGACCAACGAAATGCACCAAGCATATGTTAGACGTGAACAGCACATGGATGGACGACTATCATCATGACTCTTGATGAAGCGCCACAAACATACTAAACGTTATAGGCTGAAGCTTGATTGACCATTACGAACTTGCTTTGCAAAGTGCAATTGCTACAACTATTACTTAATATGCTGCATACGCTCCTGACCAAAATTTTTAATCATTTTAAATCGTGCGATGAAGAGCCCCGACAAACGACCCACTCAATGTCAAAATGCTTGATCAATGAACCTTAAGGAATAAACTCCAAGACACCTGGTAAGCGTGCAAGGTTTGCCGTGAAAACTAGATGCAACATTTTGTGATGACTGAATGAATCGAAACCTGGAAATGAATCATGATTGTAGTTAGAATGTTGACTACATCGTTATCCTGAATTCGAACACTTTCCTTAGAGACCAACCCGAAATAGTCGGGATTCAATGCATGTTTATGATTGTACCACCATAAAGAACTTGCGGGATCACTTTCCATTTAAAAGTGACATGACCATAGCGAGGGTGACACCTTGCAGGACGAGGGCGCTGTATGTTGAGATTAGCCTTTGACTTTCAAAGCTTATACTTTGTAAACCATTTAGTTAATACATAAACTATTGATTTGACCTGTATGCCCATGTCATTGTGAGAAATAATTGCTCATAACTGTTCACGATCCTAGTCGAACCAAGTACTACCGTGAGTCTACCTTGCTGTGGTACTTACATGTCAGATAGACGTGAAGACCCAAGTAGAGTGAAACAAACACGTCAACGGTGCAAAAACATTTTAGATCGTGATCGACAACTAACAACAGCCGGTCAATGATGGATCCCAACATGAGACGACCTACAAGGTCAATGTGACCATGAAGTGACTTCACCCTAAAGCTGATTGTGATGTTAGGACACGTGAATCGTGATGCATTAGCGTGACAGAGAAATCCCTGCCTACTACCCGAGATGATGCGCAAAACATCCCTGAAACTTGAGGAGCTCAATGACGAATGATGTGAATTCCGCCACAACATCGTTAAGCGACGAGGAATTTCAAGAATACCATGTAGCTCCAAATCAAGAAAGTAATGAGAAAACTCCATGCCTAAGTTTGAACATCTGTAAAACATCTGACATTATGATAGTCGAAATCTCTCATCTACACGTTTTGAAGGAACTCGGAATGGGGACCTATTAGGCTTTTTGATGTAAACTCTTATTGGATTAACCAATGTGAACCATAAGTTTGTTACATGTTGGACATCAATATCTCGAAGAGAAGGGAAGAATTTGCCGACCCATAAAAGCTATAGTTTTGACGGTTTCGAATGTGACGTGACCATGCTGAAGATGTGATCTCGACTTGTACAGAATGCCCAAATGTAATCGCTGTGAAAGTCTGATAGAAACGTGAATAGTTGGCAATGATAATTTCCTTAGGAATGGTGAAGCCATTCACCTAACTATGGTTATAATGCAAACGTGTTGTAAATTTGTTGAACTATGTACCTTACTAGAATTTCAAGGATGAAATTCCTGTTGGGGGAGAAACTCTTTCTTGCTCGCTCGTGAGCAAGCCTACCGATAGCATAATATGAGCTTGATAAACTTGTAATCGACATGGACCATAATTTGAAGGAGATTTGTAACAAGCCGTGGGTGTTAAATGTATTAGACTGCGACAACCCCCTGATGAGAAATGTGATGTCGGTTGCGTTACGGATGTAACTTAGCTTCTACATAATGCAAAATTTTGACTTCCATGTTAGTATTAATTTTGAATTAAGAGAGATCCTAGTGGGAATTTATTCAATGTTGTAGAGTTCGTTGTTCTAAATCCAACTATGCAAGTGGATTGCAAATCTGAGTTAGTGGCACAAGTTTTGACCGACAAGTCAGATAATTAGGCTTGAACCTGTCCTAATTGAATTATGAGTGGAATCTGGACCCTATAAATATTTAACTTACTACATGTTATTTTTCTGGATTGAAAAATGTGTTCGCCTCCTCTGTACTGCTTTGTTCTCCTTCCCGTTCTTCTCTTTTTTTTGCTTGTGTGCCAGCACCATAAGCTGTCATTCTCTATTTTCAATTCAAATTGCCTATTTTAATTAACGATGTTTGATTGAAATTATTTTCAATGTAATTTATTAGAGAATTGGAAGGGAACAAAAAAAATAAACTTTACATATTAAAAACTACACCAAAAATTTTATAAAGAGGTGACATGACTAAATTATTTTATCAAATTAATAACAAAAATATAGAAACAAAGTGAGTTAAAGTTTTACTCTGGGAATAATAAATAAGCAACTTAATCTTGGACGAAAAGAGTATTATACTTCTTGATCTTAAGTAAGAACGAGTAGTGAACAAGCTAAGGGTTTGTTTTCTTCACATGATTTGAATGATTCATATCGGATTGGAATAAGTTCTGATCTGATCTAAATGTATTTATATTTAAAGTTGTTTCTTATATGATTTGAACTAATTCCAATAAGAAAAAGTAATAAGTAACAACAATAAGTTGAATAATACGAATAGTTGTTTAGAGGAAAAAATTATTCTCTCAATGTAACTACGCTCTAGTTCTCATAAAAATCCGATCTCCCTTTTTGAGTACAAGGATTGTCCTTTTATACACTCTATCTCGTGAATGTTCTAGGCCAGGTTTTTTTATTATTGGTGGATTCAAAAATTCATCTCTCAATAAATTTTGACCACGTAAGTTACATCTTCATATACATAAATTTACATATACACACGTACAAACAAATGTATTAACAATAAATTCAAATAATAAATTGGGACAGTATTGAAATATAATATCCTTTCTTAGCAGAGACCAAGGGATTTCTGAGCCGCTTCTCCTCCGACAACATGATCTAAATTGTCTTGCTTGTTTTCAACATTTATCCCATAATGGATATGAGGATAATGTGCCCACTGCATTTGAAACACGTATCACATACAAGTACACAATAATATTTAACTCGTTATTTGATAGAAAAAAAAATTATAAGTACATCACACACACATGTACACACACACATATTTATATATATGTCCTAATAAGAAGCTACTAAGACCTTGGCAACGACAGGAGTGTTAAGGTATTAATTCAATATTTCTGAAAAACTACAAGGAAAGATTCTAAAGAATTTTAGAAGTTAGAAATGTGTAGAATTTTGTACAATGTTGTAGATTTTTTTTAGATTGTGTAAAAGACTATAAAAGTTTCTAGAATATTATAGAGTTTTCTACAAAAGTTTGAAAGTCTCAAGAAGTAGGAGGAAAAAAGAACAATATAGAACTCTCTAGAATATTCTAAAACTATGTTGAGTTTTCTAAATTCTTCTAGAAACTTATGGAAGCTTGTGGAGACTTTCTAGAAGACCTTAGAATGTAGGGATGTGTGGAGTATTCTAGAGAAGCGGCCTAGCCTTAGTAATTAGTATAAATAGGGGTGTGGATGTCTCATTTGGTAATCTATGGGTGAAGAATCAATAAGGATTCTTGAGAGTGCTTGTGAGTGAGGTGTACAGAAATGTTCCCAATACAAATAGTGTAGTGTGCTACCCATGTAGTTGTAATATCTCTTGTAAATTTCTCAATATGATACAAAATTTACTTTCCAAAGTTGTGTCTTTGTATTATTAAGTGCGTGGTTTACTTGTTTGAATTGGAGAAAAGAGGCCGAGACACATATCAATTCCTCAATAAGGGGCATATAAGCTTAATTGGAATTAGGGGTGGGTTCGGTTCTGGCGGTTCGGTTTTTACCCAAAACCAAAGACAAAACGGAAGGTAAATTAGCGGTTCGGTTCGGTTTTGCATAAAAAATATGAAAACCGTTGGTTATTCGGTTTTTTACGGTTTTTATTTCGGTTTTTTTCTGTTTTTTCGGTTTATAAAAGTAGAAATTTATAAGCATTAAAAAATTATAAAACACTAACTCGATAAAACAATAAAAATATGTAGTGTTAGCTTTGGTTTTTCTGTTTGATTTTTACACAAAAACAAAAAACCAAACAGAAGGTTATTGCTCCTTTTAGTTTAATTTTACATAAAAAAGATGTGTGGAGTGCCAACAAACATTTAGAAGATTCTAAATACTTCCAAAGACATCGTATGTAAAATCAATTATGAAGAATTTATATTTTTTGTATAATACTTTCAATTTCATCATAACATCAAAGTATTTTTTATGTAAATATGTAAATTACGCGCATCAATTTTTAATCTTAATATGATTCTATATTAGGATTACTATTGGATGGTGTTCATATATATTCTTAAGTTTTTTAAAGTTGATAATAATATGGCTAGATTATTTAATTAATAGATAAGAAAATAATTTAAATCGACTAGTAATTTATTTGCATTTATATTTCTATGATTTTTTTATATATCACATACATTCATATAAATTAAGTGAAGTATCTAAAAAAGTTCGGTTTATTCGGTTCGGTTCGGTTTTTCAAAGTGAAAACCAAAACGGAACCAAATACTAACGGTTCGGTTCGTTTTTTTTACATTCGGTTTCGGTTTTTTCGGTTCGGTTTTTTTACTAGCTCGTTTCGATCGATTTCGGTTCGGTTTGCGGTTTTCGGTTTTTCCATCCCAGCCCTAATTGGAATAATAGAAGGGGATGATAAGAAAAGGAAAGACGCAATGACCGTACACAATAATAAGGTAGAGGGGTTGCGGTGTTGGTGATTGGAGAGGAAGTACAACAATTGGTCTATGGGCGACAACAACGATGATACTTTAAGGGAATGTTGCGCCAGTGGTGTGGACGGTGGGTAGGGCTGAGCAACGGTCGGTTTTGGTTTGAAACCGAAAAAACTGATACTTTTTAACATGGTTGAAAACCGATCGAACCGAACCGATCATAAACTTAAACCAACCGAACCGAAACCGAAAACCGCCCATACAACAAAAAAACCGACCGAAAAACCGAATTTTAATTACTTTTATTTTTAGTTTTTAATATAAATTCAAGAAACTAATTCGGCAAGGTAGATTGATATGTATTAAATTAGTTTAGATTAAGACTTTTTTATTGTCACTAATTTAGTAAGGAAGATTAATTTTTATTTGAATATACATTATCCATTTCATATAAAAATTGCACTTTTCTTATTAATATGTTCAAAACAATAACAAATAATTTTTTAAAAAGTGAAACATTAAATTTTTTTCATGAAAGAGTAAGAAGAAGCATGTGTGTTAATCAAATATTTTCTTATTCTAAAAAATAAAAAATAAATTAAAATAAAATCATCGGTTATTTAGTCAGTTCGGTTTTTTCTTACAAAAAACCGAAAACCGACCGAAAAACCGAAAATGATTTTTACATGAAAACCAAAACCGAAACTGAACTTTTGATTATTTCGGTTTCGCGGTCGGTCCGGTTAATTTTAAGGGTGGGGATTCTACTCTTTGATGGGCAAATAACATTTACATTATGGCAGAGAATGATTTAAGACTAGACCTGTGCAAACAAGGGTCGGTCCGTCCGGCCCGCCCAGCCCACCTTTTAAAATGGGCGGATATGGACAATCTTTAATACCCACATGGGCGGGCCAGCCCAAGCCCGAATTGTATTTGGGCGGATCTGGAAGTTACTTTTAGACCATTCGGGCCAACATGCCCGCCCATATTCATTAAATACATTTACTTTATTATTAGTTACCTAGACAATATAAATTTTAAAATTTTCTTTAATTCATGTATAATAGTTCATATCACTCACCCCTCTTAAACAAAAATCAATAGTCTTTTAATGAATCTGTATGATGGGTTTATTAATTATATAACAATATTTCTATTATGTTTTCTATGTAAATGTAGCGAGTGGTAATTTTATTTTAAACATTTGAAAACGAGTTCAATATTTTCTTTTTGATTTTTTTTGTGTAAAAAAGATTTTCTTGATGTTTTATCTGGGCCGGGTGGCCCGGTGGGCAGTTTAGCCCGCTAAGGTGGGCGGGTATGGGTAAATAGGTTAGCCCATCAAATCCGGGCCAGGCCAAGCCCGCCCATGCAAATGGGCTAATAATTTGTATCAAGCCCGGCCCAGATCCTTATTTGCAGAGGTCTATTTAAGACTTAATAATGCAGCAACATCTTGATCAATATCTAGAGGAACCGAAGTCATTTTCAAAACTCATTATTTTAGAAACATTTTACAATTTCTAGAAATCATTTTCTACTTTACAAAATAGAACCAAAGTGAACTAATTATGTACTCCATGTGTCCCTTAAAGTACTTCTCTATTTGACTTTTATGTGATTTAAGATAGAAATATTTTTGTGTTGACTTTCCTAAATTATCCTGTATGTGATAAGTAAATGTAGGGTGTGATGGATTTATTATTAGTAAAAAGGTACGATGTGATGGGTAAAAACTAATAGAGGTTAAAGTAATTTTTTAATAGAAAGCAGAAAAGAATTTTGAGACATGCAAAAAAAGGAAAAAAACTTTGGAACGAAGAGAGTATTATTTTTAGATAATCCACTAGTTTCACTTAACCTCCCTAGAACCTGTGTCATCTGTCAATGAGGAGCATGGAAAAATTAAGTGGAAAAAGACTAAAGTAGGAGTAAAATATTCAAAATATACCAAAATAAGAGTTTTATGTTTTTATTCCCGAAGGAGGAGATAAAGTGCATTAACATCACCAATTATGACCATGTACATAACCAAAAAGTGTAGTAAAATGCCTTGTACAGTGCCACACTACTACAATGCCAACTCCTATTTAGAAAATAAAAATATGGAAATCCTATTTTGGTACTTTCTCTATATTTTAATCCTATTTATGGAGATTTCTTAAGATTAAGTGCCCGTTTAGCAACAATTTCATCATTTATTAACTTTTTCGTTAAAAAACCTTGTAGCATTTAATAAAAACTTTTTTTTAAAGGTTTATCTACTTCTTATAAAATTTTCATTAATGCTAACATTAATTGAAAATGTTGTTCTCAAACATAGATTATGAAATACATTAGTGTTTGGACAAAGACATTTTAATATGTTACAATATTACTTCATCTGTCTTAACTTTTCGAGTCAAACTAGATGAAATTTGGGCCTCATTTAAAATTATAATGTGTATCAACATCTAAGTTATTTCTTTAGCTTTTAAATTTGATTTCATTTTATTCATATATATTCCTCCCGTTTTTTAAAACCATTCCTATTTTGACTTTAGGCCAAAGGAGTATCTTTTTATAGTAGACTTGATGAGATGAGTAAAAATAAGAAGTTTTGGGTAGATTATTAGTGAAAAAATATGGTGTGATAGGTAGGTTAAGAAAAAATAAGGATAAAAGCGGGTTTTAAATGAAAGTGAAAGTGTTTTGGGGAAAAAGAAAAAAAATGAAAGAGGATATGCTTTAAGAAACTGAGGGAGTAATATTGAATGAGAGTAAATGATGATTAAAATTCACCAAAGTTTACTCATATATAGTGGGTGTTTTTCTGTGCCTACAAGCTGGTCAAAATATCTTATAAGCACTTTTTAACTTATAAATCAGCTAATGACATATTTCTGTGTGCTTATAAGTTAACTTATAATCTTATATGATGCTTTTAAGCCAGAAAAAATAAGTAGATCTTAACTATTTATTTTCAAGTCAGTTTTCTCGTTTCTTCATTTTGACCAGATTATTTAAAAACTAATCTTTTTTCATTTATAAATATTTACAAATGATATATCTATCATTTAAGTTATTTTACTTCCACGAAAGAATATTTGACGTATAAGAAATTTATATATTTAAAATTGCTTATCAACAATAAGTCAATAAGTATCAGTATAGAAAAACACTGACATAGTCAAACTTGAAATATAATAAGATTGCTTACATTTTTAGCAGCAGTGCTGAAAGCTTGGCGGTGGCTAATATCAGGATTGCAGGCTTTTATCCTTTGGATCTCCTCCCTACAATATATTTTATGTTGTCGCTATTATTTTTAAGGGGACCGTTAAATTCTCATGATATTGGAACCCTTGAATGATTCAGGGTTGCTACGGTTCTTCATTCGTAAAATTAACGGTTCCTACCCCCATTCACTTTCCCAGCAAACCCTCTATCCACTCTGACGCGAACACACCCCCTACGCCCTTCAATTGCATCCCCTAGTTAATTGTGACTTTGTAATTGAAACCGTGAATTTTATGAGCGGGGCACCGTAGCGACCCCGGATCATCCCATGACTGGCATGACATGAGGTTCTAATGTCATGGGAATTCCTCCGATTATTTAAACACACAAAAGAAAAAAAAAATCATTTGAAAATCCGTACAGTAGCTTAATTAATTGGAAAACGCTATTTTAACCCCAACATTTGATCTCCACCTTTTAAGCTCATCCTTACAGACATTACAGACATTCGACATTGTTCCTTGTCTGTAATGTCTGTAAGAATAGAGTTAAAAGAGTTAAAATGTTGGGGTCAATCAAGCATAATCCTATTTAATTACGGAATATATTACACTCCAAGTAAAACCCTGTCTAGCTTCTTCGGTTTCACGTACTGGCATGGCTTGCCAGTTTGTATATATACTCCCACCCTCCCCCAAATAAAATTCAGAAAAAAATTACGAGATAAAATAAAATAAATGTCAATTCATTTTCTTTGAAAAATTGAAATAAAAAATTATAAAAACTTACATTTTAAAATATTATAATGTTCTATAAAATTAAAAATGGTATGATTATGTTATTTTATTAAATACTTCAACTTCGTCCCAATGTATTTGTTTAGCTAGACTTTTGGAGTCAAATTGGAAAAATTTTAAAGTTCAATTACTCTCATTTTTTATACTCCGTAGCATATTAGTATAATAAAATAAAATTTTGAAATTTCTCAACTAAATAAATACTACAAATTATTTTTATATAAATATGCATTATAATTTTTATTTAATTGAAACTCAGAGTTCATTCAGTTTGACTCAAAAACATGAAATTGGAGAAATACACTAGAACGAAGAAAGTAATAAACAAAAATAAGTAAAAAAAGTCACAGAGACATTAAAATGTTACTTCTTAGTTCAGTCCCAAAATAATTTACACTATTCGACGTGAAAAATTTTGTAACTTGTAAATTAATTTTATTTACAAATTAGTTTAGAATTAAACAATACAACTTACATATTTAAAAAAATATATCAAAAGGTTTACAAAATAAAAAGCATAAAGAATATTTTATGTTGTAAACTTAATAATAAAAAAGTATTCATGAAGCTGAAAATCATTTTGAGATAGGGGAAGAAGTACTTAGGAAAGAAAATAATAGTACTAGGGAGTATGGACAAAACACGTGATATAAAAATGAATAGTAGTACATGCAGTACATTGCTTGAACCATCATATACTTGTATGGAACAAATAAATAACTTTCCCTCTCTAGCAAAATCAAGTTTACGACCATGGTACGATTTCAAAAAGTTTAGAAAGAAATATCATTCCCTCAAATTTACAATACAAGTTTTGATGTGTGTCTAATGGTATTTTCAATTTAATTTTAAAAAAAAATTTGTATAAAACTAAAATATAAAATTTATACTTAAAAACTACCAATATAAAAGGGAAAGTAACTATATTAATTATTTTATCAAATGTTAGTTATATAAATAAAAAGAAGAACTATAATTTGACCATGTAAATAGTAAGAAAGTGAAATGTGTATGAGTCATGTTATGTGATTTAATTTCTTTCATTTTTCAAGAAAATGATTTTATGTACGCGTAAAACTACCAAACTACCGCGTATATTCTAGTATGAATTAAATTTATTAAGAAAATAAAATGATTATGAGTCATATATTCTTTTTATTAATAAAAATTTAAGCTAAATGTAAATTTAATTTAAAACATCAAAAAAAATGCAAAACATTATTTTGGGACAAAAACAAGGCCGGTCCGTGGGAAGACCAAGCATCCCTACCGGCATGGGTCCATTGTTTTTAGCAAAAATTTCTAATTTTTTAATATAAATATAAATATATATGTGTGTGTCTGTGTGTGTATTCCAGGGCCGGCCCAATAGGGGGACAAGGTGTCCGTCCGGGCTAGGCCCAATTTTTTTAGGGGCACAATTTTTTTAAGCATTATATATATATATAAGCCCAGGCCCATGACCCATCCCTTAACTTAGCCCAGTGCAGTAGTCTGTAGACTAAAAAAACGAAACTGAAGAGACGCGCAAGACGAAGTGCCGATCGAACTCATTGAAGAAACCAGATTCCAGAAACTTCAAGTCGCCGACCTGCACGCTGCTCGCCTCCACCGCCGGACGCCGATTCGCCGTCCTGCACCGCGCACGCCTCCACCCTCTAGGTAATTATTCATAGTCTTCGCTGTCTTCCCTTTCCAATTTTGTAATTTTTATTTCTTAAATCTTAATTTTCTTTCATATTTTCATTGTTTCATTTTTTAGATTTAAAATATAGGGTTAATTATTAGTTTTTAATTTGAAATCTATTCTAATTTCATTCTTTGAAATAGAATGAATGAATGGTTCTATATGTTATTTATTTGATTTGGATGAATTGATTTGAATTTTTTATTTATGATAATTATATATTTATATTAAAAAAAATTGAAAACTGAAAAAAAATTAAAAATGGATTAATTGATGAATTGATATGAATTTATGATTTATAAAAAATTTAAAACTGAAAAAGAAAAAAACAATTAAAAAAATAAAAATTGACGAATTGATTTTAATTTATGATATATTTATTTATTTATTTGCTTGCTTTTTTCAGTTTTTTATTCTTGATTTTTCTTAGTAGAATTTATGATTTTGGATTTTATTTCAGAAATAATTCAATAGCTATGCCTCCTAAGCAATTATCCGGTAGTCAAAAAAGAAAAAAGAGAAAACGAGATGAAGAAATGAGAAAGTCTCAAGCCGGAGTTCTATTTAAGTTTATGAAACCTGTTGCTGAAGACGAAGAGGTAGAAGTAAAAGACTTAGTGGATTGGCGGTAATAGCTATCGAAAATGAAATCTTAGAGAGCATAGACTGTGAAGATGTGATCAACCAATTTGCTTTCAAGAATGCAAGGAGAACTTGAATCCTCGGCTAGCTTTTACGGTATGTAATTATAATACTATAATTTTGTCATTTATTTTTTTTCTTCTAATAATATTGCGTTAATTATAATTTAAATATAATTAGTTTACATATGTGAATTTTTTAGACCATTAAGGATAAGACTTTTAGGGCCTTTTTTCTGTTTCGGCCCAGGCTGATGAATCCTCGAGACCGGCCCTGGTGTATTCTATTTTACAAATAAAATCATGAATTTCCTATTTTAATTTTTTAAAATATATTTTGCCCATATTTTAGTCCATGTGAGTTGTAACTAAAGTTAAAGAGAGAATGTGAAATAGAAAACTTAATTACTTGATGAATTGATTGTAAGCAGAAGGGACTCGCTGCCTTTTCTCCGGTGCTGCAATATAATACACAGCGTGTTATAATGATGCAACTCATACATACATACATACATATACACCGCGTGATATGGGCAAATTAAATAACATAAAGACAAAAAGTATAGAGTACTATGTCCTATTTGATCTAATGTTTAGACAACTTGCTAAAAAGCAAATAATACTCGGTGTGTGTCTATGTGTGGATGTAAACCCCTCTCCCAAAATAATTCTACTTTGAGTTTTTATTCTTTTAATTAAACTCTTGATGTTTTAATTAAAATCTCATATTTACCGCTATTAATTATTATCATATCTATCACATCATATTTATTTATTATTAGTCTATCATAACATCCCAATCTACCGATCACAATGTCAAGGAACCAATTTAACCAAAAGCTCAACCTTGTGGTTGTGGCCCAGGAACAGTTATTTATATTCTAACACGCCCCCTCACGTGCAGGCGTAGTCTTTTTTGAACCTTGCACGTGAAACCTAAATTTTTTTAAACTAGGTGACGTTGAGTTTCGAACCCGTGACATCTTAGTCAACGAAGCTCTGATACCATGTCAAGGAACCAATTCAACCAAAAACTCAAGCTTGTGGTTGTGGCCCAGGAACAGTTATTTATACACAATCAATAATGATAATATTAATCATCCAGGTTCGAGCCCTAGTAGAGGCGCAGAGCCGGAGACACTGACTCATTGTACGTCATTAGGTTGAATTTTTTTTGAACATATTCGATATTGTAATCGAGTCAATAACACCTATTCTTTTCGTTCCTTAAAACCCTTCTCCTTTCCTTGTTTTCAATTCTCTAAAACACTTCCGCTTTCTATTAAAAACCACTTTTACCCCTACTTTTTCATACCCTACCTATCACATCATACTTTTTTCACTAATAACCAAACTATGATCATATCTTACTTTTACCCATCACATCAGGAGCAAAATTGGAAAGTCAACCAAAATCACACTTTCCTTAATTTGGCTAAAAGTCAAAACAGGAACCTTTTAAGGGAACGGAGGGAGTAAATAATAACAATAACGTACAATAATTATAATGATAGTAGCAATAATAATAATAATAATAATAATAATAATAATAATAATAATAATAATAATAATAATAATAATAATAATAATAATAATAATAATAATGACAACAACTAAAAGAAGAAGAATACGATAAATGCAGGCAAATAATTTTATGTCACTGCGGAAAGAAATTAGGAGTTCCAAAAAATAAAAAGAATGTTAAAAAAAGTAAAGGTATTAAAAAGAAATTGAAAGAGTTAAAAAATCCCAAAAACAAGAAGATTACAATCCAAGTACATGGGGCCTTATTTTGCATATACAGAATTGAGTTTTGTCAATGCATAACTGAGTTCTATCAATGCTACTTCAATAGACATCATTTCTGAATTCAGACTCAGGTCTAAGATCTTGTTACCTTTATATACTTTTTTTTATTAATTATTTTTATTTGAATCAAATCATATCATTTCAGAAATTTTTACGTGGGTCTATCCGTACCTCTCATGTTTCCACACATAATCAATGTGCGGATATTCTCACCAAGGCCCTTGGCAACGGTCGCTTTGACATTTTACTCCCCAAGTTGGGCATTTGTCTACTACATGCTCCAACTTGAGGGGGGTGTTAAGGATATTTATGTTAATTATATTATGTGTGAAGATATCAAGGCGCAATTCTCGGTGGTGAACGGACCCCGTATTCAACAAATCAAACGTGAGTTGACGTCTTGTGATCAACATGGTTTGAGCATCGCCGCATATTATGGAAAGCTAAAGAAATTGTCAGATGATCTCAACAATTGGAGAAACAGCGTGACAAGGAAAAGGTTCATCAATTTTTGATGGGCTTAGACGATGCCGTTTTTGGTCATCTTCGCTCCACACTCTTGTCTCAAGAACCCTTTCCCACAACAGCTCGAGTTTACCGTGTCTTGACGCAAGAAGAAACTTCTCGTGCTACTCAGGTTTGTGAACTTCCAGAGAATGCAGCGTTTGCTGCAAAATTTGTGTCCTCGGAAAAGCTCATGACGTGTGGTTATTGCAAAAAGACCGGGCATGATAAGGATTCTTGTTTTCAGTTGATCGGATATCCTGAGGGCTGGGGCACACGCGGTCAAGGAGGAGGAGGCCGTGGCCGGGGCCGTGGCCGTGTATTCAACTCTGGCCGTGGAGTGACAGCGCCACCTCGTGCAGCACATGCGGCAGTTGCTACTGTGAACAGTGCACAGGATCCAGGTCTCAATAACAGTGTCCCTTCTCTTGCGGTAGATCAGTGGGAAACTTTTCGTGCTTTGCTCGCGTCGACTAAAGAAGGCGTGTCAGAAAGATTGGCAGGTATGCCCTTTACTAAAACCTGTATAATTGATACAGGAGCAACACACCATATGACGGGGGACTTTCATAGTCTCTTGATACGCATCCTATCCCGGGTTGTTGGATTCGATTACCCGATGGCAAACGGGTTGCGGCTAAAACCGCTGGGCGCGTCTAGTTAAATGATTCTGTAACCTTGAATAATGTGTTATTTGTGCTTGATTTGAGTTGTGCATTGATCTCTGTCTCTCAACTGATAACGGAGACTAACTGCTTGGTTCGATTTGATGGGACATTATGTATTTTTCAGGACCGTGCAACGACGCAAGTGATTATATTGGTGCGGGTAGGCGTTGTGATGGGTTGTATTTCTTTCAGCACACAATGACCGGTCAAGCATTGTCTGTGACAAAGGAATGCTCATTTGATCTTTGGCACCGACTTTTGGGTCATCCGTCTTCTAAAGTTCTCTCTTTCTTTCCCTTGGCTAGTAATAGTAAGAGTAGTGTTTTGAATAAAGAACCATGTTCCATTTGTTTACGGGCCAAACAGTCTCGAGCTAGTTTTCTGTTGAGTGAGAATAAAACAACACATTTGTTTCAACTTGTTCATATTGATGTTCAGGGTCCCTATCGCACACCGAGTATGGATGGTTTTAAGTCCTTTCTCACCATTGTAGATGATTTTTCTCGTGGCACTTGGGTATATTTGTTGCGTGCTAAATCTGAGGTTCCCATGATTTTTCGTCAGTTTTGTGCTATGGTTACTTGTCAGTTTGGTGCTAAAATAAAAAAGGTTCGTAGTGACAATGGCACAGAATTTGAGTGCCTTGATTCATATTTTCGTGAGCAAGGAATTATACATGAATGTTCGTGTCGAGCGTAAACATCAACACATTTTAAATGTTGCTCGCGCTCTTCGTTTTCAAGGTTTCTTGCCGATTGAATTTTGGGGTGAATGTATCCTTGCTGCAGCGTATCTCATAAATCGTACTCCGTCTGTGCTATTACACGGAAAAACACCCTACGAAATCATGTTCGGTAGTGCACCCATGATGTCTCATATACGTGTGCTTGGTTGTCTTTGTTACATCCATATCCAGATCGTCACGGTGACAAGTTCTCAGCTCGCAATCAATCGGGAGTTTTTATTGGCTATCCTTTCGGGAAGAAAGGGTGGCGTGTATATTGTCGTGACACCGGCAAGTTTATTGTATCTCGTGATGTCATTTTTTGTGAAGATGTTTTTCCTTTTCAGGAGACCATGAATGCTATTCCTTCCACTGGTGTCCCCGAATTCACTTATGTTGATGAATATGACATTATTTCTCCTCATAATTTGACTAGAGAAACAACAGCAAGTTTTGATAATTCCTCCAAAGGTGATTCGGCCCCTATTGTTACTTCTTCAAAGGTGGGCTCTCCTAATAATTGTTCACCAGCCACGGATATCTCTGCCACGGACAACCCTTCAGCCACGGACAGCCCTTCAGCCACAGATATCTCTGCCGCCTCTTCAGCCACGGACAACTCACAGAGGGAGAACCCATCCTCTTCACTAGTGACGGCTGGAAATTCCCACGATGACACACACTTAGTGGGCCGCGGACATCGTCAGAAAACTAGTAATGTGCGGCTTCAGGATTACTACACGTACACCGTGACTACCGAGGATGTGTCGTGCCAGTATCCATTGCATGATTTCCTTAGCTACACACGGTTTTCTACTCCCCACATGAGTTATTTAGCTACATTGGATGCTGACTCTGAACCACGGTCATATACAAAGGCGGTCCAGTCTCCATTGTGGAACAAAGCTTTGTCGGAGGAAATCACAGCTTTAGAGAATAATGGTACATGGACTTTGGTTCCTTTGCCCCGTTACAAAAAGGCTTTAGGATGCAAGTGGGTTTATCGTATCAAACGGAAGTCTGATGGTTCCATTGAATGATATAAGGCCCGATTAGTCATTCTTGGGAACAGACAAGTGGAAGGCATCGATTATAAGGAGACTTTTGCTCCCGTGGTTAAGCTCACCACTATCCGTGTGCTCTTGGCGGTGGCTGCCGTACGCAATTGGGAGTTGCACCAGATGGATGTCCACAACGCTTTTCTCCATGGTGATCTCTCCGATGAGGTATACTTGAAACTCCCACCCGGGTTTCATCCTCCCACTCCGGGCATGGTTTGCAAGCTCCAAAAGTCTCTGTATGGTTTGAAACAAGCTCCTAGGTGTTGGTTTTCCAAACTTTCAGGGCACTACGACGGTATGGTTTTCAGCAATCCCACTCTGATTACTCTCTTTTCTCCTATACCCGATCGGGTTTTGCTGTACATGTTATGATTTATGTCGATGACTTAGTCATCACTGGAGATAGTGCTCTTGAAATTGGGCGCTTCAAGAAATACCTGTCAGATTGTTTTCATATGAAAGATTTGGGTGTTTTAAAGTATTTCCTTGGTGTGGAAGTGGCTCGCAACTCAACCGGAATTTTTCTAAGTCAGCGAAAGTATGCGCTAGACATTATTGCAAACACAGGCTTACTTGGTAGTCGTCCATTGGGTGCTCCTATGGAACAAAATCACAAGCTTGCCCTCTCCTCTAGCCCGTTTTTAGATGAACCATGTTCCTACCGTCGCCTGGTTGGCCGTTTAGTGTATTTG